ATTGTTCCTATAGTTGTTTTGGACATCGATTTCAACTAGGTATTGATATAAAGTGTTTTTGGCTCGTGGGTTGTTGTTGCTTTTGTTAGTTTGGGCATAGATTTCAACTGGGTAAATTTTTTTTTTTTCTTCTTCTTCTCACTATGATGAAGCCAAACTGAACCAAAAACTTCTTCTTCTTCTCACTGATAACTCTCTCTCTCTCTCTCTCTCTCTCTCTCTCTCTCCCTCAAAGCACTTAATGGATTATTCCCCTCAACATTTCAGTTCCATTTTTTTTTTAACTTGATATTTCAATACAGATCTGTGAATAAATCTGTAAAAAAAAATCAGATTTCAAATCTGAACCAATTTCTGAGAAATTGGAAACTCTCAACCAATTTCAAACCAGAACCAAAAAACAAAAAAAAAAAACAAAACAAAAAGCACAGCATCAGAAATTGAAGAAAAGAAAGGGGGAAAGAAGAGCCATGGAAGCTGAACAAGCTGAAGAAGTGTTCTTCTTCTTGAAGCCCAAAACAAGAAAAAAAGTTAGAAACCTAGATGCATCCTCTGTTCTTCTTCCTTTCATTTCTGTTGATTTGCAGAGAAACAAAACCAACTTATTTTGAATGAGAAAGATAGTTTTAAGACCAAGCTCCAAAAGGGTTTGTTTGGTTTAATGTAATTTCCAGATTAGATCCCATAGATCAAAGGTTTGAAAACAACTTCAAGCAAATCAAAGGCTTGAAAACAACTTCAAGCAAACTTACTTTGTTTGTTTCAAAAAATAAAAAACAAATTTGTAGAACTTTGAATGAAATTGAGAGAGTCCAAAAATAGTTCAAAATGAAAAAGATCCACCATATAAGTGGATCTATTGTGCTTTCGCGTTCTCTCCTCCCTGATTGTGTGAATCCCAACTTCGGCTACGACGGATAAGGTGCACTATTTGGATTACAATCCAAATAGTGGATAGTCCCCCCTCCTAATCCCCCCAATCAAACACACCCTTAATGGATTATTCCCCTCAACATTTCAGTTCCATTTTTTTTTTAACTTGATATTTTCAATACAGATCTGTGAATAAATCTGTAAAAAAAATCAGATTTCAAATCTAAACCAATTTCTGAGAAATTGGAAACTCTCAACCAATTTCAAACCAGAACCAAAAAATAAAAAAAAAACAAAACAAAAAACACAGCATCAGAAATTGAAGAAAAGAAAGGGGGAAAGAAGAGCCATGGAAGCTGAACAAGCTGAAGAAGTGTTCTTCTTCTTGAAGCCCAAAACAAGAAAAAAAGTTAGAAACCTAGATGCATCCCCTGTTCTTCTTCCTTTCATTTCTGTTGATTTGCAGAGAATCCGGATCCTCTGTTTTTTTTTTTTTGGGTCGATGATTGTAATGAGGAGAGAGAGAGAGAGAGAGAGTTATCAGTGAGAGAGAGAGAGAAGAAGAAGAAAAGAAAAAAGAAAAACGAAATTCATTTTTTTTTTTTTATCTGAGTCGTAGATCTTCATTAAGCCACGTGGCCAAATCGTGGCCCTTGACTGGAGGACCGGAGGGATGCTTTGGCTAGAGATGATCCAGACTCCCCTCACACACATGGGGGTTGGTGATTGGAGGAGGAGAAGAAAAAAAAAATCTGGCCAATCAAAGGCCAAAGGGGGTCTTGGGGGTCACCCCTAGAGGGGGTCCGGATCATTTTTCATAATGATATAGCAATCAATTATAATATTAAAGATAATGCTCCCTTTCATATTTTTTCTAATTATCAACTAATCATATCAATTATATATTATTAGGTTTAGAAAGTGATTGGATTGTTTGGGATGTCTTAAATAAGTGCACTTTTTATCTTTTTGGACTAAAAAGTTGAGGAAAAAAATATAGATGTTTGGGTTAACTTTTTAACATTTTATGAAAAAATGTGTATTAAAAAATTGTATAAAGAAGTGTATAGAAGAAGATAGTGTAGTACACCGTATGGATGGCAGTGAGTCGGGTTGGTGAATACATGAGAAAAGATTGCCTCCTTTTCGGACTTTGATTCGACAATGTTGTTCGGCCCGTTGGGGTCCACCATGGGTTCCCTTTTTCTAATCGGAACCGTTCAATGTGTAAAACTCGTCGAGTACTATATGCTTGTAAAAAATCAAGTTAATTGGATATTGATAGTTATCTAATCGTATTAGTTTTTTTTTGTCAACTGTTAACTATAACACCATCCAATTTTTATACAAAACTGATTTGATCATGTAGTTAGCGATATCCAATAGACGTGATTTTTTACACGCATATAGTACTAGACGAGTTCTACATCTTGACGATTTGGATTATCAAAACGGGACCTATAGTGGGCCGCCACGGGCCTAACTTTACCATTCAACTTAGTGAATGTACACATGCAATTTTTTTTTTCCTTTCACTTAAGCTGGCTTGACGTCAGTACATTGATGGGCAAAAAGTTGATTTGCATTTAATATTTGTATATTAATTTTTTTATATATTTTTTTGGTGAATAGTGATAACTTTTTAATTTTTTTGTAACTTTTTGACTGTTTAGCTTTTTTTACACTTGCCAAACCAGCCCTGAGTTTGTATATCATTTTTCTAAATTTTGATGATTATTTTAAATAGTTGGTGGATATGCTCTCCACACAATTATTTACAATTCAACTCTTGGGATCAAGGTATGAATTCCCTAGTCTCAGCATGGATGGCTTGCTTTTGACAAAATCAAGAAAGAAATTAGTTGAGTTCCGCATAAATTGATACAGACATCCTCACTCCTCCTTCACTCTGGTGAACCAAAAATAAATAAATAAATTATGCCATAATGTAGTAGTATACTTTTTAAATAATAAAGCACCTTAATGGTATTAGTTTATTCACTTTATACGAATTTATTATTATTAATATATCATTATTCACAGACTAATTATCATTTTTTTCCCCTTTCTAAGTGCACTGTCTCTTACTTTTTAAATGCCATGGCCTTTATCTTTCACGATTGAATCGATTTGCTAGTGAAGAATGCTTTTGTCAAAATTCGCATCAAGCCAACCAGCGGATAACTTTTTGTTTTTCAGAATTTAAAGAGGTCACGGCATCTAACGTGATTGCAACTAAGATTGCAAGTGCTTATTCCTAGAATATATTATGGAAAATTTTACAATATATATATTGTTACGGAGAAATTCTATAATATATATGTCTATCATATATGTCAATTATAATTTTTGTGATATTTAATTATAATTTATTATGGTGTTGATTATTATTTAAGTGGTATTTGATTATGACTTTTGATTACGATTCATTATGATATTGGTTATAACCTGTTATAGTTGTTATTTTGATTATGGTCCAAAAAATTCTTTAATTATGTTTCAGAAGATTTTGATTATAATTTATTATAATCTTTTTAATTATGATTGGAAGTAATTTAATTATGATATTTTATAATATCAAGAGTATAAAATGTCGTAATAAAATATGTTACACTTCATTTTGAAGAGTTTTTATGGTAAAATAACCAGACAATCAAAATATTAAGATAGATAGAACCATTTGAGAGAGGATGAGCACTGTGCAAAGCATAACTCCACTGGCATTGGGTGAATTATTTATAATCATAATCTGAACAAGCAATCACTGAACAAAGTGCCACTTTGTAGTTTTAGGGAATGAAGTTGGAATAATCTTATTCAATATTCAAGCTCATGTTCAATCTAGAGAGATGTAGAAACACAAAATCCCTTTTGATTGGGACTTCTCTTTTTTATTATTTTTTTTCTCCAATTATCTTTTCCTATTGTTGTTGATGTTTGTTGTTTTAATTTTCTAATTGGCCTAGCCAATCAGTGATCTACACAACTGCTGACCCAACAATTAAACACCAACCCCAAACATAAAATGGGATATATATATATATATATATATATCTCACACGATAGGAGACCTACGTGTGGAACTTACTTTATATAAGATGTATGTATTTCATTTTGTATCTGGTGTATGTGCGCTTAGACCTGTTGAAATTTATTTAGTGGTATCGGGGCATGTCCACGTAGGGATCGTTTATTTCATGAGATTAAGGTGTAAGATTAGACTCTATGTCTCATAAATTTTGTTAATCCATCTTTTGGTTAGTTTAGTGAAGATCAGATTAATGGTCAAATACACATCATTTTTAATTTAGAACTAATAACAGCTTATTATATTATAATCTGCTCTTATCATCAAAACAAACACTTCCGTAATATCATAACATGAGTATTTTTTATTTAAATAATGAAATCTAATGCTTTTTATTAAAATTTTAAAAGACAATATAATAAATGTTATGTGTTGAATGATATCAAATAATTTCTCTCCATTTTGATGGGCACTCAGTTACTCCTGGATCCTTCCTTCGCTAACAACATGCACTTCCTCTTCCTTGCTTGAGTCATATTTATTTATATTTATAATCATTTATAAAATTATGAAGATAGACTTTTTTTATTGTAAATAAAGAGACTAGACTAATTGAAATGCTTGGCATATCCCATTGCAAGGTATTCACATACTAAGTTTTAACCATTCCAAAAGTTTCTTTATCATCATTTTTTTTAATTTTTTTTTTAAATTATGGTTTCAATATACTCTCAATCATTTACAATTAGACCATGTGTAAAGAAATATTATAGACATGTTTGACATCACATCTATAAATTTAACAAATATATGCAATGTTTAAACATTTTTCTTTCTTCTTCTTCTTCTTCTTCTTATTATTTTTTTGGACAAGTGACATTGCTTTTAAAAATAAAGCTTAAAAGATTGCAAGGTTTAGCAGTATCATTTCACACCAAAGACAACAAAATACAATGCAATTAAAGCAACTTCAACAATGCGACATGTAACATGATAGGCCCTCCTAGGACCATTGGCAAACAATAATAATAATAATAATAATAAATAAATGAAAAATACCCTTTAAAGACATACAATAGAACTAACTAAATTAGTCAACCGAGGTACAAATGGACCTTAATGGCCAATAAAAAGACGCAAATAAGAGCAAAGTAAAGCAAAGCATGAACGAGTATGGAGGCACCACTGGTATGGAAGTTGCCAAATTCGACGCATCTTTGGTGTCCCGGAACTTGAAACATTAGCCCCGGAGACAGCAACACGAACAGCACCACCGCCACGAACACCGGCCCCCAGTCCGACATCTCCCCCTACTCTTTATTTTCTCTATCTATAAATATGTATGCATGTGTTATGGTATAGAATAGAAGAGTGAGAGAGGAACACAGTAATTGAAGTTGATAAGAAGGCAATGGACTAAAATGGGATGGACTCAAGTGGGTTATGTAGTTGGGAAAATAAGAGAAAATATTATTTTAAAAAAAACAAATGAAAAAACAGAGAGGGTGTGGGAGGAAGGTTAGAGGGTCAAGTCACTTGGATTCACTTAGCACCGTCCCATAATCTCCCATATGAGAGATTAGCGTAAGCACAACACAACCACTCTACACGCACGTGACAACTACATTTCTGCAAGTGACATTACAGTTTAATATTTCTGTGTAAATTACATGATCAGAAAAAAATATTTATAAAAAATAATAAATATTATAAAAATTATAAATTTAAATTATAAATTTTCACTTTTTTATAAATATTTTTGTTGTTCCCCACGTAGGTGTAATTCTCCCAATATTTTAATGATAAATTACGAATATATTTTTTGAGATTTACCTTAAAATATAAATTATCCTTTGTAATTCTAAAAATTGCATTATATATTTTTTCATATTTCTAATCACATAACAAACAATTTATTTTATTAATAAATCATTAAGTCAATTAACAATTTTTAATGATATCAAAAATATACTAATTTTATTATTGTAATAAGAAAGTAGTTAGAAAATTTTATTTTTTTTATTAATTATATTAAATAAAAAATTCTGATAAAAAATATTTATAATTTCTAAAATCACAAGAACTATTCATATTTTAAGTCAATAACAAGAGATGTAATTGTAATTCATCCATATTTTTAACATACAGTTTGGAGAAAGCTAAAAACTAGTAATAAAAAAAAAAAAAAACATTAAAATGTCTCTCTCTCTCCATTAATGTTCGTTTAAAAAAAAACTAATTTAGGATATTTTTCCACATAAATTATAAATAAAAATTGCATAAAATATTATGACACAAATTTTTAAAATGAACAAAAAGGATTATAAATAAATAACAAAAAAAGGTTGATATAATTACATCAAAATTATAAAATTTACTATATTTATTTTTTAACTTTAAGTGAGTTCACATTTATTTATTTTTTTTGTTTTTTTAAGATAATGTTTGGGAAAATGCCTCGTAGCTCGACTTTTAGAGGCTCGAAACGGCTCGAAATAGAGAAAGAGGGAGAGAAGAGAGGAAACAGAGGAGAAAGAGGGTTTTTTTTTTTTGAAAAATTTAAAATTAGTTTGACAAATTAAATACAACAAAAAAAATATTTTTTTTTAATTTTTAAAAATTATTTTTGTGAAAAAAAGAGAAAATTATATAAAAATAATATACATTTTTATTTTTTATCAATTTTATTTTGAATAGTTAAGATAGTTTTAGAAGTCATTTCGCGCCTCCGTGTTGCCTCGACCACCGCACAAGCCGGCAACGAAGTGAAATTCTTTGCACAACAAACATTACGGTTCCGATTGGTAGCTCGAATAGCACGGCTCGAAATAAAACTCGACACCAAAACGACGTCGTTTTGGTGTCGAGCCAGATTTCGAGCCGTGCTATTCGAGCTACCAATCGGAACCGTAATGTTTGTTGTGCAAAGAATTTCACTTCGTTGCCGGCTTGTGCGGTGGTCGAGGCAACACGGAGGCGCGAAATGACTTCTAAAACTATCTTAACTATTCAAAATAAAATTGATAAAAAATAAAAATGTATATTATTTTTATATAATTTTCTCTTTTTTTCACAAAAATAATTTTTAAAAATTAAAAAAAAATATTTTTTTTGTTGTATTTAATTTGTCAAACTAATTTTAAATTTTTCAAAAAAAAAAAACCCCTAAAAACTCAACCAATTAGAGTCTCTGTTTGGATGGAATAATTTAGTGAGAAGTGAAAAAAATAAATGAACGAGAATTGTTTCGCATATTTCATTTATAAACTAGATGAGAAATTATGAAATATTGTGAGAAAGAGAACTCTCTTTTTCTTTTCTTTTTTTTTCTTTTTTTGTCATTTTTATTTCTATCAAAAGTGGTGAGATTTAACAAGAAATGATTTCAAAATTTTAATAATATTGACATGGGTAAGTCCATAAAGGTTATAGCCCACCACTTAGGGCCCAATATATAATTCAAGAACTAAAGTCCAGCGTTGCTGGAGCTCAACATGGCATTAAGGGCCAATGACATCTAAACACGTGGCAAGAGAAGGACAAGCCACATAAGCAGATAAAAATCCTGCAAAGTTATTGCACTGCACATCAGCTATTAATGAAGTCCCTTACAGTATTTATTGCGATAACCCTTCCCCGTCGAGACGAACGGCCTCACCATAAACAAGGCAAGTTAGAGCATAGACTTTCGGCCAAGATGACAGGTCGGAAGGGACAACAAAATGATTACCAGAAGATATAAGCAGACGTTAAAGACAAAAAGAAGGTTAAACTTTTCTATCTCTAATCTATCTCTACATTCCATCTCTCTTTCTAACTTGCTCGTCGGAGGGTTCGCTGGGGGACTCCCCGTTCCCCGTTGAACTCTTGTGCAGGTTCCACTTTGGGCTTGGTACCTCGGACACTGGTTTGGGAAGCGTGGATCAGTCCGACCCGCTCCATCTGGAACACGCTGTATCATCAAATATCAAAATTGGCTATTAAAATAAAATAAAAATTAAATACATTGTCTATTCAAATGTTTTTTTTATTAATTCTTTAATTTTTATAAAGAACATAAACGTGTTAAAATGTTTTTGGTTCTAGTTGTGTATGGGAAAATCTGGAGTACATGAAAGTAGTTTTCATGTATGGTACTCAAAAACATATGCAACATTAGATTTTGATAGGATGAAATCCTAGCCATTAGATGGTGTTATTGTAACAATTCGAAAATTTAAATTGTTTTTTAAATTTTATATTGATATATTTTTATTATTTGATATTCTTATTTTTATATTATTATTTGATATTATTTTCTAAATATTATAATATTTTTATGATATTTTTCTCTATATTTTTTTTAAATTAATATAAACTAAAATGCAACATTTCCTGTACAATAAGAAAGCGTGCCCCACTTCACTTGCTGCCCAAGCCTTCTCCCCTATATATGAAGATGCTCATGTTGTGCATCAAGATTTTTCTCTCTTTCGGCACTTCTCTCTTTAATTATTTCATAAATATTTAGTGGGTCAAAATAAACGAAAAGTAAAAAATTAGAATTAATTTTAAGCTGAATTATATTATATTTTGAGTTAGCAGAATATATTTTACCTACATTTTGAGTTATCATAATTTATTTTACGTAATTTGTGTTTTATAAATTATATTAATATCTCGATTCCGTAGATTATTTTCTGACCTCTATTTTTTAAAATTGAAACTCATGGATATATTTGTTTAAATTTTAGAAAGTATTTGACAATGATCTTGTAAGCAATTATTTCTGTAAGTACCACCACGGAAGTCCCACGCTTTGGGGAACTTAAATAAATCATTAGCTTCTGATTGGTCACCTTGTGACTCTCTGTTTATCATAGATCTATTGACCTCTGTTCTATGCAGAGCAAAGTGTTGTGCAGAGCTAACTGCTACACTATTGTGGGAGCCACCTCTAGAATCCGTACGAGCCACCTCTTAAATCTGTACCTCTGTATTGTCATGAATCCATTGACCTCTATTCTGTTCTATACCGTAATTATGGTTATATATTTTCGTATAATATCATATGATTTCTGAAACAGATTTTTGTTATAATACGAGCAACTTATTTACTCTAATAACAAAGTATTCTATTGTATCTGTTGTGAACCTAAAGCTTATCCATGGTAATTTTCTAACCTTTATGCTCCCAGTATAATATTTCTCACTCTGTCATGTGTTTATAGATGTTTACCAATTTCCAGGAAATGACGCAATTCATAAATAGTTTTTGGAAAGTCTTAGAAGCGGAGATGTGAAATAGACACACAGAGCACTTTTATAGCATTTATAATTTTATTCTTCATATGTAAATATCGGCTTTTTGATCAATAAGTTTTTGTTACAAAAGTAAAAGCTCCAAGGATTATTTTAGTACTCTCACTTAAATATTTTTCTACTCGTGTTTAGCAATTTGTTTAAGAATTGGCCGGAGGTAACTTTAGTTACTAGCCATCATTTTTTTTTTTGACCAGCAAAAATAAAAACCTTTATTGAAAATAAACCAAACAAGAATTAAGATTACAACAAAAAAGGGTGAAAAAGCAAAAATGCATCGTAGCATACTACCCAATCCCAACTAGGTTGGCACTGAGAAGATAGCCCAAACATCTGCAAGCTCAACCACAAAAGGTTGGAGAGAGACCAACCCAAGCAAGAAAAACAACAAAAAGCTAAACCCACAACAGCCAGGACCCAGCAGAATCAGCACTAGCAAACTTAGCTACATCAGAAGCACAACAGCAACCCCAACAGAGACAAAACACAGCAGCAGTGCTCACATATGCAAAAACTTAGATGCACAGCCCAAAAGAATCACAAAATGCACAACTGCACACTCATTCCAGCAAACACATCAATCCATCCACCTATATAAGTCAGCAGAAACCACAAATACTGAAAGCAATCAAGGCCTATCCCAACAAACCAAAATAACACACAATCCAAACCAGCATCAGACCAGCAACCCACGAAATTCCATACACTTGATAACACAATCTGATCTAAGCATCAGACCAACATCAACCAACTAAATTTGCAGAACTTAGCATACTAATGCACACTACAAGAAAAAGCATCTTTGGCGACTAAAAAAGCACCTTTGGTCGCTGAAAGTATAGGTTTTGGTGACAAAATAATTTAGTAGCCAAAAGTAAAATTTTTGGTGACTAAAAAAATTTAGTAGCCAAAAGTATAGGTTTTGGCGACTAACAATCTGTTTGGTCGCTGATATAAGGCTTTTACCGACTAAAAATATTTTAGTAGCCAAAAGTAAGGCTTTTGGCTACTAAAAATAATTTAGTAGCCAAA